ACTACCAGGCATCAGGAGTTTAATCCTGCAAAACTGTGCATATGCCTGTGTCTTTATCTACCTAATGAATTTTGCCAAACTTGCCTTTGTGTCAGCGAGCACTAATTGGGGAGCAGCATGAGATTCCTTGAATTATAGAATCATGGAATCATAGAATCATTCAGGTTGGAAAAGACCCCTGGGATCATCAAGTCCAACCATTCCCGTACCTTGGGATATGAATTTCCTATTAAAAAACTCCTAGGCTTCTTATCTCTCCAGAAGTTTTGTCCCCGTGCCAAGACTGTCATGGTTTTGCATTTAAAAAAAAACAAAAAAAGGTGGTGTGAGGCACAACTCGTCTCCTGCGTCAGCCAGGAGAGGATGAGCTGTGCGTGGTGATACGGTGGGATCCTGGCAGAGCTCAGGTCGTGCTTCACAGCCAAAGGCAGGCACTATTCTGAAAAGTATTGCTAAGAAATGCCCTCATAAAAAAGAATCGATTTTCAGCTGCTACAACAACCCCGAATGATAAGACTTATGTTTGTCAAACGCTGATAAGGATGAACATCTGAGCGAAGGAGCAATCTTGCAGCTGCTTCCTTGGCTGTTCACCATCTGGAACAGCCCGGCAGCAAAAGCTTTATTTACAGAGAAAGCCTCTGTAATGTGCATCTATACGTGTACCTTAGCTCACCTTAATCCAAATTCAAAGAAGCCTGTGCCTGGGTGCCCTTCCCAGGTGCCATCTCAGCAAAATAAGCATCGTGCACACCCCATGCTCAGGAGGAGAAGACCCAGCTACCATTCGGTTTCCAGATGTGCACGCTGACAAGTGCTGTTGGGTTAAAAAAGGATCCTTCATAGAGCAGGAGCTGCTTGTTTCGGAAGATCTGTTCCTCCCCTTTGAGAAAAAAAAATAAAATAATTACGTTTGCTGGCTGCTGGGCACCTTGCCCTGCATTGTGCCATTCCCCCAGCTTCAAGAAAGCTTGGACATGCATGATACATGAGGGATCTCGACAGCAATTTTGTTCTTGGCTTATGTTTGTGTTGCTCCTAAGGTGTGGAGACAGAAGCCTAGCTCATGCTAAACACAAGGAGTTTGTTGGGGGTCTGCCAAGACAAGGCACAAGGAGGGCTCGCAAGCCTTCTGGCAAGCAGCCTCGTACATGTAAGAAGTGGGGAAATATGTCATTGCTGAAGTCATGGAAAAGCTGCTCGTCACTGTTCAACTACTGCCCTTTGGGAGGGGCAGAAACTGCAAGCTGCGTCACTTATCCACAGTCTCAGGCAGGGGATTTAGAACAACAGCTCCGGCATCATCTCTTTTGAACTTAAAAAGACAAGAAATCAGGTTTGGTCGGTTGTTTTGGTTTTTTTTATCCTGAAGGAACATTTGGATTTCTCTTCATCTCCATTTTGCAGTGTGAAATACAGGGAAAATATTTGGGTAAAGACCAAAAAACATGTTTTGTATTATTTTTGTTTCATTTTCAGTGCTTACACTTTTTTTTTTCCCCTAGAAGAACACTCATCTTTACCAATACTAGGGAACATTTTAAATGTTAATTTCTGCTTCAGTTTCATAGCTATGAAGTACTGATAATATTATTCACCAAGGAACTAACTGATAAAAAGTAAAATGCAGGCTATGTGAGGCAATATTATTGACTTAGTGTAGTATACTGATATGAATGTTCATGGAAAGGATTCTTCTATTCTGCTCAGCAGAGACAAGTCTTGAGAAAGAAGCCTGTAGAAATGAACAAACAAGCATCATTAGAGCTTGCATTGCCCAGATTATGGAAGCAAAGACCACTGGGATGAGAGATCAAACACTTGAGATGTTTTCAGCATGTTCAGTATACGCTGTAACAAAAACTATGGTACTTGAACAGGGATGGAATGCATCTTGGACATTCACCAAAACCACAGCAGGACATTTTTAAGCAGAGGTAATATTTCCTATTAAAACAACTCACACACAAACCTAAATAAATCAGAAGAGCCTTCAGGCACTGCTTTAGTGTGCACAAAAGTTTTAGTGCTTTTTCCAACTACAGTGGCTGCCTTAATAAAAAGATACTACCTTTATCTGTAATGTCTACGTTGCCTCAGTCCTTAGCGAATCACAGCCTCAGCAAAACAACAAGAGCACATTGAAAGTTACAAACAAAATAATTCCATGTGTTCACTGTAAAGTTAAATGATTTACAACCCTTTTTTTAAAAAAAATAAGATAGCACACCTTTTGCCATAACTTGCATATAGGATAATTATTTCTGGAATAGTTTTTCCTTCATAAGCCTTGGATTCCTAACTGCTATGGTTTGCATCAACAAATCACACTCCTCAAATATCTCTCTTAGCGGACAATCTCACTGTTCAAGCACCACAGCCAGTGCTTCTCAGGGCAGTCTTTTCGTCTCATGGAAGAATAATCATTAATAGGCTAATTGGGATATTTGCATCAATTTCCCAGTTTGTGTACCCACAAGCAAAAATTGGCATTTTGCACTTTTTTGTATGCGTAGCTGTGGTGCTCAGGGTCATGGTTTAGCGGTCGACCTGGCAGTGCTGGTTTAACTGTCGGACTCAATGATGTTAAAGTGTTTTTTTCCAACTTTAACAATTCTATGATTCTGTGATTTTTGCCTAGCTCAGTAATCTACAGATGCCAGATGTTGAAAACCGTGCACAACTCTTTGTTCAAGTCAAAAATTCCGCTTGACGAAATCAGTAGTTTTATGTGAATCAATACCACATCAGAAACAACATTTGCTGGACAGAATTCAAAGAATTCAGCTACATCAGGTCAGGGATCAAGCTTGAACCACAACAGTCATAGTTTTCACCTGCCCTTCTTGAAGAGAAGTCTCCATGCCAGGAGAAATGGGACTTGTTTGTTCTGCTCAAACTGCTTGTGAAAGCCGCTTACAGAGCCTGCATGTCTCGTGGAGTCATCAAGAAAATTTTCAATCCAAAGCACAAAATACACTTCCCCGTTCTTTGCCTGGCTGATTAGTGATGGGAAAACAGATGGTGTTTGCTCATTTGTCAAATTAAACTAACCCCTCGAAACTATCACCAACAAAACACTCCTCCTGAACGATTTGGAGGGTTGATCTCAACATCTCTCTCACTAACACATCTCTCCAGGAAGCTCTAATTATCCAGCTACTGACTTTTTGGTCTCTTGCCCACAGTTACTCATTCCTTATGTCTCTTCATTGTCCCTTAAAAGCCACCTCAGTCTCACTGCCTTGAGTTAACGCCTCCTTCTCTCCCTCCTCATCCCACTACGGGTCTCTAATTGCAAACAGTCACGTTCCAGCCTTCCTCCATCCCCACCAGTGTTCCCTCACCCTCCTTCACTGTCATTGCTGTAGGTTTTGTTCTTTGCTGTCAAAAAATACAAAGAAAGAAAAAAAGAAAATGTAACAGCCAACCAATTCTCCCTCCTTTGATCACAGCCACCTGAGTTACTTGTTCTCTCTTCTCCCTGTGATCATCAGCAAGAAAACTGAGGGGAAAGCAAACTCCCTGACAAACTTTACATATTGAATGAATGTGATCTCCCTGAGAATAAGAACATGTTTAAAGTAAAAACAAAAGCAACTTAAGAGCTTGTACACAGCTATTGTGCTTGAAAAGTACTGCAGAAGAGGCACATATCTCAGCCAGAACATGCAGTTCCACTGATTTCATATGATCAACAGTAAACATATGATTAAACACTTTGCTGGATTTTAGCCAGAAAATTCAATTCTGAAAAAGCCTGAGCACCCTTCCGTTAATAGGAACATGTTCACGAAACTTTCAAGTAAGCCTTCCTGTTAATAACATTCTACCAAATGTCATACAGGCAATAGGATATTACTCATAACTGGCACTTAATTGAACTGAGCTGCATCCTTTTTACTTTAAATAATCAATTTCTTTTAATGCAGTACTTAAAAAATATAAAAGTGATAAAAATACTATCTAAGCAATGACATGAGTCAATGCAGGTGTATCTGAAGGTCTTACAATACTTTTTTAAAAATATGATCTGTATCTTTCAGCAACATGCATGGTTAAGTCTCGATGCAGGTGCAGGCAGCTGGGTGGTCAGTGAGAGGAGGAGGAGAAGGAAGAAGAGGAGGAGGAGGAGGAAATGGAAGAGGACACCATTTCTGTGCTGTTGTTCTTCTAAAACACAAAATCTGGTATTATATAGGGATATAAGATAAGAGTTTTGGCTCTGAGAAGAAATCACACTTTTTCAAATTTACTGTATTTATAGTAAATAAAAAGGAACAAACGAGAGCCGCTACATTATTTATCAGGGGTTTATAACCAACAGCTTCTTCCTTATCAAACAGAATCAGGTAGAATGTGATTTACATTGACAAACGCTTCTCACATTACCTGATGAACTACCAAAAGGAGTTCAATGAGGAGAAGTAAAATAAATACTCTCACGGACTCGTAATACTCAAATAGGCATGAAAAATCTCACTAAAATACAGTCAAATTTTTTACCTCCCTCTGTGGCACTTAATAAACATCCAGAGACTGACTGTGTATCCAAAAAGTTAAAAATTTCCAGGTCATTTACACAAAAGGCATTATGAGTATCAACAGTTAAGTACATAAACATAACCTTTACACTTGACTATTTACCTTGAACTATGTAATGTGTTTTATAAGCAGTAATATACTATATCCCCTTCCAAAAATTAAAACAATTCTATAAAAATAGGATTTCTAAAGTACCAAACATTACGAAGCACTCTGCTGTAAACTAATCTTTTTGAAATGCAAGTGCAAAAAAGCCCAGAATCATTGGCACAAGATCAGTCGATTTCTGACAATACAGAGCTTCTTATCTTACTCAGTTCTACATGTTCCAATGCATTAACATAACACCAACACTACAATTTTTTTCTGGAGGCGATCTTCATGGCCACAGAGCATTTTTATGTCATGACAACGCTTCTTCCTTGGGGTGTTCACCAGCATTCTGTGTTCTGTACTTACTCTGCTGCCTGCGAGTCACTTGGTTTTTCCATACCTAGGTCACCACTCTTTTTGTACTTTTCAGCAAAATAGTCAGAGTCAAAGCTTACAGATAAATCTGGAGGACTCACGTAAACGTTTCCATTGTTTGTTGTGATTTTATGAATCCTTTGTTTGACTCCTTTTGATTGCCATTTCGGTGTTGGTGATGGCTCCAGAGGGTTTATTCCTTCGTATAGTCCCTCTCCTGTTTCCAAAGTAATTACAAACTTATGCCAAGGACAAACAATACATGCTTGACCATCGATATCCTGCAAGAAGAAGGATTAAAAATAGCAAGTGATCACCTTGTGATTCTTCTCCCGGAAGAATCTCTAGGACAAGAGACACATTTGGTGATTTTGGCTGTATGGCTGTCTGTTATTTTAAATATATAACCATGTATTTCAATGTTATGCTCAGATAAAAGTATTCAGAAGTTGCATTAGAGTTTTCACATGACTCTTACGTTGCCACATTATTTTTATTTCACTTACGTACCTCTATTTCTCCAAGTGGTAAAGGGCCTCCTTCATCTGAAACATGGTAGAACACGACATTAATTTACACAGCAGATTTTATGCTTAACTGTTGGAACACTGAGATCAAATGTGCAAATATCTTACGGTAACAGCGAGAGTCCATAGCATGAAATTTCCCCTCGTGGTAGAAAACAACAATTTCTCTGCCATCAACTTTGGCTGTTACTCTCCGGGACCTCTTTATGTCATCTTCTTTGCCAATTAATATCAGACCATCGGGCTCTGTTTCAACTGTTCCTGTGCCGGAGCTGCCCGAATCCACATCCTTAAAACACACACAAAAAATAATTCAAAAAGCTGCTTATAAAAATCAAAAACTGATCAATGGGAATGTCAAAAAAAAAAAGAAATAAAAAGCACTATAGAAACAATTAACAAACAGCACTCTGTTATATGAGATATACAAGTAGAAAACCATTATAGACTTTTATAACACGTTACTTTAACACACTTAATCATATTATGACTACCATCCTGGAAAGTGCTTCTGCACAGCAGACTGTTGGTTTACTGTATCCTATGGATGGATAAATGTTTGTCTTGTTTTTAAAGCGTTATTCTTACTGCTTTGTTTACACCATAGTCTATTGATTTGTTTTAAGATATACGTCATTATCAAGTACACTCAATACCATTTTTTCATTATTGTTCTGTCTTAAGTTTTCATACACTGTGGTTTTTATGGGGTTTTGTTTGGTTTTTTTCTGTTTGTATTTCTACTTGTAGAATCGTTATCTTGGTGCCAGAGGAGTCGTTTAACATTTCAGATGAAAGGAGCAGAAGTTCTAGTACAAGACTACCGACACACAGGATTTTGGCGATAACGTCTGGCCAACGTGTTCACCATCCAAACCGGGGCCAGGAAAACCAGATGCGGCAAAACCTGATGGCTGAGGCAAGATAAATTTTCAATCACTATCCACTTACTCCACACGTTCACCGCTACCTCCCCTCAAAATCCTATGTGCAAACAAATGCAAGGAGGGTAAATGCAAAATACTGTGCAATTTAACTATGCAACTGGTAGCATTAACATGTAAATTACAAATGTAAATTTACATGTGAATCCAATAGTCTTTAAACAATGTTAGGGCTAGAAATACAAACTGATGTAAATAGAAAAAAATTTCATCTGCAAAAGCAGGAAAAAAATGTTTCTGGAGAAGCTGCATTCGACCTGGCTTTTTTAGCAAAAGCGTCTGCTTTTCCTTTCCTCCTATTACATATTTCAAGTGTCTAACACCCTCTCGCAGCAGAGGACATAAGTAGTTTTACCACAAAACCTGCCTTCCTATTAAGTTTGCTCAAAATGTTAGCCACCACGCTCCAGTTCCCCCTGAACTCCCAGCACCACCATGCAACACTGCCTCCCTCAGAAAAGTGGGATAAAGAAAGTCTTGTACGTGCTGTGACCAGCATGGAACTGGAGGGATGTTTTGCATTTAACTGTGGGTAAGTTGTTAAGTTAAAAGCAACTGTGGTTACGCAGCTGAGGTGATGTTCACCTCCAGTGATGAGGTCTTTTTATCTGATTTTTTTTTTCTGTTGTTGCTTTCTTTTCCTTCCTGCTGCAATGTCTCTTGTTGTATCTTTCTGAAGAGTCTAAGCGTAGCAACAAGCTTTAAATCATAGAATCGTAGAAGAGCAGGTTGGAAGGGACCTGGAGGGTCATCTAGCCCAGCTCTCTTCAGGTGAAGAAATACAGTTTGAATGAGATGCCCCAGGACTCCATCAGGCTGAGCCTTAAAGCTGTGTAAAGTTGAGGAATCCACCACTTGCCTTGGAAGAGCATGCCAGTGTCTGATTGCCCTCCTGGTGAAAAGTTTTCCTCGGGAGTCCAATGGGAATGTCCCCAGGAGCAACTTGTGCCTGCTAGCCCTTGGCTTCCCCTTGTAATTCCTGGTGAAAAGGAAGTCTCCATCTCTTTGGCAGCCCCCCTTTACATACGGGTATGTGGAAATGAGGTCTCCCCTGAGCCTTCTCAAGGCTGAACAGACCCAGTTCTCTCAGCCTTTCTTCACATGGCAGCTCTTCCAGTCCTCTGATTGTCCTCGTGGCCCTTCTCTGGACCCTTCTTTTTTTCTTAGTCCTTCTCTGGACCATGAATAGTGGGGACCAAAACGGAACACAGTACTCAAGCTGTGGTCTGACCAGCGCTCAGCACATTTCTCAATTTATTTTTCTGAAAACTACACTAAACCTCGCACACTCGGAAATCGTGCTGAGCGTGCCCAAACAGTGTTGGGTACTTTTCCCAGTTTATTTTCTTTCTCTTTCAAAACACTTGAAAGCAGTTAACAAGAGTAAACTTGCACCTGTCGCACATTCAGCACCGTGAATAGCAGAGAGCTCGCTCAACCAGGGGACAAGGGTGGGTCTGGCCGCAGGGAGGGGCGAAGAGCCACAAAGAGACTTACCTTGGGTCCATGCCAGATGGCCAGGGAGATGAGGAAGCAGATGAAGAAGTGGAGGCTCAGAAGAAGGATGTCCAGCATCGCAGCCCCTCACCGTGCCTGTGGCATCTGTAAAAAAAAATGACATGCGAAGGGGAGGCAGCAGGGCCAGCCTCTCTAGAACCCGGGGAGGATGCACGGAGGCTCAGCACGCAGGAGACGGCTCTGCCAGCACAGATAAGGAGCGGGGACGTGCTGGGGCTGGACTGATAACAGAAGAAGAAAGCTTGGGGTTCCTCCCCCTGCCATCCCTCATGAATACGTCAGACCAAAACCACGCTTGGAGCCACGTTGTGTGGGTTTTTTTCAGGATGAGCTGATTATTTGCTGTTTGCTCATAAACCGTCATGCTGGGAAGACGGGTGTAAATGATGGCGTGGCATTTTTGAGGCTGGTTGTTATCTGATTTGCATGTGATTAACCATGAGGACCAGCTCTCCACTCCGCAGTTTACAGGAACTCCCACCCAGTCTTACCTAGAAAGAGAAACGTCACTGCCAGACTCAGAGGATGACCCAGTAAGACACTCACTCAGAAAATAAGCAGAGCATGCAGCAAATGACAAGAAACAGAGTAGGAAATCCCTAATTTTTCACTGTCAGCTTTTGGCTCGCTCTTGACTATAAACTCTCCAAACTGGCAAAAAATCTTAAAATATAGAAGCCCGTAGTTGCAAAGACACCTCTAAAAAAGTGTGTATTTATGTATACATATACATATATACATATAGAAACAGGCCAACAGCTTCATTTCACAGCCAAAGCTCACATTCTTACCTACAACCAACTGCTGGTTAAGAACTGCCTGGGCACATCAGAAGAAAACCCTGGAGGCAATGTACACTTGTTATTAATGCTGCTGAGTTTTTTCAACACATGGTGGCAAAAGACTTTCTTCTCTTGGACAAAAGAGCACAGTTAAGGACTCCTTATCACAAAAAAAAAGCTTAACTAGACCCTCTTACTGCAGGCCTGCTTGCTGGCCGCTTTCCCATCTGTGAAGCGGATGTGTACCAGCAAAGCATGAACAGAAAATGAGAGATTTTGCCCCAAAGGTGGGAGCATTTTCTTGCCTAGTCCCCTAAGTTTGAGGCAGGACCTGGCATAAGCAAGGGCAACAAATCTCCGAGGTGACTTTCACTCAGTGTTACCTTCTCCTCTCCCACCTCAGCACCTTGGCTCATGGTCATCCTGCTGCCCACCAGGACCAGCAGGTCCCTTTCCCCTGTGCTGCACTCCAGCACGTCAGTCCCCAATCTGTGCTGGTACTTGGGAAATTGTGCTATCATGCTCCAAGGTGAAATAACAACCAGTCTTGCTTGCTCCTGCCTTTTCCAGGATGACTGTTGTATTAAAACCATTCATGCAAACAAGACCTGGAGTGAACAGCCCACATAATCCCCCCCAGGGACCCAGAGCAGAATCCTCAGCTACCAACGAGATACCAGAGCAGCACTTTCCAATAGAAGGAAAAAAAGTCAAAACTTCAGGCGAAAAAAGGAAAACATGTGTGTGTCCCCTCAAATACACACTTTAAATTGGTTTTCTACTAGATTTTTTCCTGTTTTCTTAAGAGTTTGGCTGCTTTGACGTTTTCAGAGGTCTTTTTTTTCTGAGTCACTCCACACCGAGGTGTGTCTCTGCAGCCAAGTGCCATCTGGTGGGAAAAAGGATTTGGGAGCAGCGGAAGGGTTCCGTTTTCCGGCTAGAAAACAAAACACAGCTGGTTTTATGACACACAGTTAATTCATTGCTGTACCCTTTTGTCGGGAAAGAAAAGGGGGGGGCGAACATCACCGCCACATGTAGCATGGGGCCCGATGTGCCCCAGAGAGACGGGTGTTGAGGCGGGCAGATTCCGGGTCCCAAGAGTGCCCGAAAGCTGAACAAGCAGCAACGCGAACCCCTCTGACCCCCACCCTTCCCCCCGGGGCTCGCACCGGAGGATGCTCCGCCCGGAGGGTACCCGCTCGCCCGGTGCTGCCGGGACCGAGGTTAATGAGCCGTCGGGGGCGATGCGTGCCCGTGCCGGAACGGCGCAGGGGGACAAAAGCCG